GGTTGAGTCCCCATCCCTGGAAGTATTTAAAAGACGTGTAGATGAGGCGCTTAGGGACATGGTTTAGTGGGTATGGTGTTGTTGGGTTGATGGTTGGACTCGATGATCTTAGAGGTCTTTTCCAACCTTAAGGATTCTATGATTCTATGATGGCCGTGTTTTATTTTTAACAATCTACATGTAATCAGTTTTCTCCTGGTTACGCAAATGGAATTCAATGCTCCCAATGAGGCTAAATAGGTTTTATGATGAAATCATTGACAATTTGCTACATTTCTTGAATGCCTTTCATGTTATGGAGAATTACTTACCCAATTTTCTACAAACATGAGGCATCAATTTTCTAGAATTATAATGGGAGAGCAGGATGCCTTTATTACCATGTTATCTGCTAGCAACTGCAAGGTTAGCAGAGCTGCATATAACCAGTGCAGTGATGGAGGGCTGTGAGATTGTACATACGGCTCCTCTGTGGGCTGGTAGGGGACAGTGTGTGCTGCCCTGTGGGAACAGGGAGGGCCTAGCCTCCTCAGGACCCCCTGGAAATCATTGCTTGCATGTATAAATGTGGTGTCTTGGTTGCTTAAAGACCCTCCTGTTATAGTTTTGTTTCCCCAATGATGAAACGAATGGACTTATTCATACATATTACCGTGGGATTTTGCAGCTGTAGCAGAGGAGAACCTCTTCACTAGATAGCTTATTCTGGTTCTCACCTACATACATGGATTGAAGATTTTATGTATGTACTTTAAAGCTCAATTTCTGAACATAGAAAAAGTCAAATATTTTGGGCAATACTTACTCTTCACCCATGGGTAGCTAGAATTCCTCTGGCAGAATTGGTTTGGTTTAAAATGAATCTTTAACAAAAGAAATCATATCCTTACACAGCATTACCTGGAATTTCCACCTGGAATAAGGAGAGGGTTTCAATGACAAAGACAGGAATCCAGCAGATGGCATCAGTGAATACTATTAAAAAAATACCAATTGGCAACAGCAGCAGCCCTGTGAATGTGACTCCTTACTTCTGATGTCTGAAGGGCAGTTTTTTGAACAGAACAAAACGTGCTGACCTATGAAAACACTGTGATGATGGAGGCTAGCAGGTTCACACCTGTGGGGAAACAAGATGTGAAAGAAATGGCATTGGAATGGTCTTTCCTCTCTTCCCTTTCTCCCGACCACTTCTCTGTTTCATTCTCTTCCATTGTTTTGTTATAATTTTTACATTAATGTATCTGTAGTACATAGACACCAATTTTATGTTAGAAACAGCTCCTCAATATTGTCTAGTGTCACACAGCCTGCTCACATGCCATGTGTTCCCATCTGTTACACAGCGAGATGTGAATAAGTTGTAAGAAGTTACTATAGAAACACAGTTAATGCACAGTATGGGTGGGCTCGTGGATCCACAGAGATCCGGTCTCCTGACTAGAAATGCTGCAGTAAATCTGAAACAGAAACCACCTGCAGGACTCTAACGTAGTACGGAAAGAACAACATATTCCCCAGCGAAGTGCCAAACCGATCTGAGGCGTGTGTTCGTTTCAGACTGGCTTCCTCAGTTCTGTATAAATATCCATCCCAAATTACTAATGGGAGAGCATGTGCAGAGCAAGCTGTGCAACTTGGATTTTAATTGCACTGTGCTGTGTTGCAGAGCAAGGCTTTTAACAGTTCATCAGACGGCAACTCCATGGACTGGAGTACTCCGATAAATAGCTGAGAGGCATTGAAGGAGCCATTTATGTCAAGATCCCAGCACCTGAAAACAGGCTCTTGCTCAGAAATATGGATTGAAACAAACTAAAAGAATTGAAAAGTGTGACATCATAATTTTATTGATGGGAAATCACTACATGAATCTGATTTGACGTGTATTGCCGTTTTTACTTTCTACTCAATAAAATTCTAAACAAACTACTTTTATCTTTTGATTTGTAGCTTTTTAATCTTTTTGATATTAAGACATGAAATGAGGAATAACTGTTAAATGTATACGTATTGGCAAAATAACCCCTATGGCTCTGCAAATGCAGGTCAGGGAGAAGATTGTTTGGTAGCAGTTTGAATGATTCTCAGTCTTTGCTGTGAGTGAGTGTTCTGAGGCTGAGCATGACCAGCTCATACATATTTCAGGCTGAAGTTTCTGGGTTTTATTGTGTTCATTTCCAGTTGATTTTATATATATATGTTTAATCATTATTCCCTGCCAGTATAATGCACATAAAGATATGCTTTTAAAGTTTCATCCTATATTATTTATATTATCACCATTTTATGCAATCCAGTGAAGACTATACTGAGGAGTAGTAGTTAAAGGTTTATGATTTTACTGATTCATAAAAATGAAACGGTTTCAAACCGTTGAGTTGTACACACAGTATAGCTAAGTAATTGCATTGCCTCATTGTTATTCAAATTACTATTTTCTTCTTTGTCTTCTCCTCTTCTTTGTTACACTCACTTGTGTTTTGTTAAAATTAGATGCCTAAACTCTTCAGGTGACACAGACAAAAAAAAAAAAGCAAACCCCAGAAAGTCAACCGTATCCTGGGCTGCACCAAAAGCAGCATGGCCAGCAGGTCGAGGGAGGGGATTCTGCCCCTCTACTCTGCTCTGGTGAGACCCCACCTAGAGTACTGCCTTCAGATCTGGAGCCCTCAGCACAGGAAAGACACGGACCTGTTGGAGCGGGTCCAGAGGAGGGCCACAAAAATGATCAGGGGGATGGAAGACCTCTGATATGAAGAAAGGCTGAGAGAGTTGGGGTTGTTCAGCCTGGAGAAGAGAAGGCTTTGGGGAGACCTTCTTGCAGCCTCTCAGTACTTAAAGGGGGCTTATAAAAAAGATGGCGGCAAACTTTTTAGCAGGGCCTGTTGCGACAGGACAAGGGGGACTGGCTTTAAACTAAAGGGGGGTAGATTTAGACTAGCTATAAGGAAGAAATTTTTTACGCTGAGGGTGGTGAAGCACTGGCACAGGTTGCCCAGAGAGGTGGTGGATACCCCACCCCTGGAATCATTCGAGATGTCCCTGCTCATTGCAGGGGGGTTGGACTAGATGGCCTTTAGAGGTCCCTTCCAACCCAAACCATTCCACAATCCTATGATTCTATGATAAGTGTGCAGCCAGCACACAGCACATGAAACTCTGGTCCTTTTGTGGGCCTTTGGGAAGTATTACAACACAAACATCAATAGTGTAATGAAAAGTGCATCTATCAGTGAATGTTCTGTAGACTGACTGACAGTTTTTCTAGTAAAATAATATTAATCAGTAATTATAATATTGTAAAAATTAAACTTACCAAGAAATACAGCAAGGGAATACCTGTTGCCTCCAATTTCTTCTATTTGATCAGAATTCAAAGGGAAACAAACTCCATTTTCCCTGTAATAATTTCCAAAAAAGTCCTCATCCCAGAAAGGGATTATTGCTATGGCAAATACAGCAATCCATATGGATTACAATTACTACTGTCTGCTGCTTTCCAGGACAGATATTACTGAAGGGAAAGACAACCACTAAATACTTCTCCAAGGTGTCCTGGTTTCAGCAGGGATAGAGTTAATTTTCTTCCTAGTAGCTGGTACAGTGCTGTGTTTTGGATTTAGGGTGAGAACAATGTTGATAACACACCAATGTTTTAGTTGTTGCTGAGCAGTGCTTACACTAGTCAAGGACTTTTCAGCTTCCCGTGCTCTACCAACTGAGAAGGCTGGAGGTGCACAAGAAGCTGGGAGGGGGCACAGCCAGGACAGCTGACCCAAACTGGCCAAAGGGACATTCCATACCATGTGACGTCATGCTCAGTACATAAACTGGGGAAAGCTGGCCAGGGGGGCCGCTGCTCAGGGACTGGCTGGGCATTGGTCGGTGGGTGGTGAGCAATTGCACTGTGCATCACTTGTTTTGTGTATTATTATTACATTATTATTATTATTGCTATTATTATTATATTTCAATTATTAAACTGTCTTTATCTCAACCCATGAGTTTTTCTCACTTGTGCTCTTTTACCTATTGAACTGTCTTTATCTCAACCCACGAGTTTTCTCACTTTTACCCTTCTGATTGTCTCCCCCATCCCACCGGGGGGGGAGGAGTGAGCGAGCGGCTGTGTGGTTCTCAGTTGCCAACTGAGGTTAAACCACAACACAAGGTCAGATACATCAACAAGAGGACTCAGACCTCTGTAGGTGGCATGGCAATGAACGCCATGATATGGCATGGTAAACTTTCCATCCACAGCACAGCATATTTTTTATACTGTCCACAGTATTTAACATCAAAAACTCCAATGAAGAACAAATACACCCCCATTAGACAATCAGCACCTATTTAAGAAATAGATTTAAAGTTTACTGAAAAATAGCAATTAAATGCTTTATATATAGTATACTTATGTGCTTAGCCAAATCCTGGCTGGCATTCAAAAATAATTTAACCCTGTGTTTGTGGCATCAGAATTCATGTGCTATGGGGCTATGAGCCCCCTGGTCACAAACAGGAGAGTGGAAGCTGGTGTCAGGATATGAGAGTGGAAGTGTTGCCAAACGGGGCTCCTGTGAGCATGCAATGATCCGGGGTCAAGCTCCCTAGCTGTGGCCGGCACAGTGATTTTTGCAGACAGCTGAATATTGAATCACTGCAATATTTGGCACGCAGGCAGCCAGCCCTGGGGAGAGGGCAGAGCAGTGTCTGGGCACTGCTCGGGGTACGGATACTGCAGTGGCGGAGTTTCAGCCAGGAGCAAGCTGAAAGAATCTCAGGCAGAGTGTGTGAGACCTGGCAGGTCTATGGCACTATATAGTATATACATGGCACTATGTAATAAATACAGAGAAGGTCTCTGATATCTTGCCTGGGATTCACCTCTTCTAATTTTACACATTCACAATATGTATCTATTAACAAGGTGAATTCATTTTACCTGACTTCAGCCATTTACAAAGCTGAAGATCTGAGCCAGTCGTGCCTTGGCTGTCTTTAAAGTCAATGAAGTCAACAGGTACTTTGGGGACATGATTCATTAGGCCTAGTTTGGATGTCTTTTTTAGAATTAGGTAAATTGCACAATTCATTGACTATAAAGAGAGCGCAAAGTGACTAGTTCATAGACATCTGCACTGTAAGCGTCTGAAGTCATGCAAGATAAAATCTCTCCTGTGTGAAGTTAACATGCAGTCAGAAAGCAGTTTGTAGGCTTGGCTAACTTGAACAAAGAGAGGGGAAGTAATAATAAGTCTCCTGTATTTTTAAAGGGTTAATCACCCGAAAACAGTGTCACACTATTGCACCATAAGCTTGCAAGGAAGTAGGATTTGGTCCCACATTTCTATTGGCTCGAGGATACTTAATTTGGGAACAACTGCTGGACAGGATATGGTATGATCATTTGGAAGTACTCACATTTTGAAATATGCAATTCAAAAATAACAGAAGCACTTATTAGTTCCTGTGCCAAAAAAGGAGGAGAGGAGAGGAGAGGAGAGGAGAGGAGAGGAGAGGAGAGGAGAGGAGAGGAGAGATGAGGTGGAGAGGATCGGCAATGATACTCTAGTCTACGGAGAGGAGAGGAGAGGAGAGGAGAGAATATTTCGGTTGGAAGGGACCTACAATGATCATCTAGTCCAACTGCCTGACCACTTCAGATGATGATGATTTCACACATCACACAATAAATTCGGACAGCAAGTAGTCTAACATTAGCTAGCTTGTCCATAATCTTTAATGCAGAATGAATAGTAGTAATTAATAAAGTAAAATGTTTAAGTTTCATGGGTTCTTTCTACACATCTTGACTACCTAAAGTCAATGAATTGAAGGACCTTCGTTATTTTTTGACACTCACTTTCATTTAGAATATCAGAAAATAGTGCAAAAGTAGATAATGCATAATATTTTTAAGTGTTTTGAACTAGTATGTGTCTAGAATGCAAACTGAGATTATTGGAACATACATGATGTTATGTATTATATATAATATAATGTCATAATGTAGTATACAATAATATATTAATATATTAATTTTATTAATGTACTAATCAAATCAATGTATTATGAATACCTTTAATACATAATTACAAAATTTTGATAGACATGGTGTGCGTCTCGTTTTCTGCTTTGATAAATGATCTCATTCTGATGACAAGATTTCCAAAACACGTAACACAAGCTATGACCTACAGGAATACTCTCAGAACATTGTTAGCTAAGAGATCTTCAGGTGATGAAATCCCATCTGTTAATGATGTGCATATTCACATGTGGAGTGCACAGAAGCAATAAATGAAACTTTTTGAAGTAGCTGAAAGTAAAGAAATGAACATGTAATGCTGCTTAAACACAAGCCAACGTCACAGTTATGCACCAGTTATGCAATTAGGTGCAAGGAGCTGGAAGAGAAGAAATTTTAACAAAATAATTCCTAGTGCATATAAGGGGCATGTTGTGAGAGGTATTAAATCAAGGGAGGATTTACTTAGGAGGTTGGTAGCAGCTCATATCCTTTTGGTCCCCAGTAACAATGCTGGTGATAGTGGCCGCTATCACCTGTGATTTCCTTCAGGTCGCTGTAATATGCAATTAGGGCATTGCCCTTTGGTCATGTACAACTTGAGAGGAATGGTCAGAGCTGGTATATTTTTTGTTTTCACAAACCTTGTAAGGACTTTGCTTTGCTATTCTCAGTTTGTTGCCAGTGTGCAGGTGGATGTTCTTTATGCTAAGGTGCTTCAAAAGCAGGTCCTTCACTGTCCTTGGCAGAAGGATTTTGCCTGCCTTAACAGATTGTGGAATGTTTGTGGAAGGACTTAAATTTGGTAATGAACATTATCACATCTTAAATGTTTCAATTCCTTGACCATTATTCAAATAAATAGTTCTCTGCTTCAGTGGCAGTGCTCTCATAAAGAAGGCTTGTGGGACAGGACATAAAGACTCTAATACAGTAAAGCCTGCAAGAACAGGGTTGTTTTGAAATGTATCCTTACATTCCATTGACTTCTGCAAGATTTAAAATTATGTTCTGGTATATTAAAAAAAATAAAAACAGGAAGGCGAGATGTGCAAATAAAATTCTAATGTGATATAATTATAGCTGTGAAATACATGAACAATGGTATATCAAATTTTGCACGTTGATGTGGTCCAATTGATTGTATCCACATCTGCTGTTAGGTAAGTGGACAGTAGCTGATTTGAGTTTTATTTTTCAAGAAGTAGTAAAAAGTGGAGGACAGAGTATAATATGAGCTCTTTAGAAATTCAGAATGAACACTGCACAGTTAAGAAGTTGCTTACATTTGTGGCATGGAAGAACCAAATATAAACATTTAGGAGTGATTCTAAACTGAAAGACCAAAATCAGAAGGAAAAGATAAGCCTGAAGATATTTCATCAAGAATGACATTTTAAATATTTAGAGAGCAAAGAGACATCTGAGTATATATCCTGGCTGGCATTAAGTGTGGAAGTGTGATGCTCCTAAAGCCCTTTGCCTCAGCCCAGGGACTGTAGTTCAGAGGCACCTGGTGTTACTGGCACGTAGCTGCCACAAACGGCGAAGGGAAAAGGCATGCTTTATGATAGCAAAGTAAAATTGCTATATAGCACAAATTCTATCTTCTCTATGAACATATATGGCTTTTTCTCATGTCCAAAATTTAAACACTTTTCTGTTCCTTAACTCAGTTCCCAATTTTGGTACATGTGAATGAGGTATTCTACTTCTGCCTGCTAAGCCTAAGGCTACACTTAACTCCCAAGTAAGCAAACAGTTTTATTTATCCTGCTTGAGCCAGAAAAAGAAGTGTGAAGGGCAGAAAAAGAAGTGATGTGATATGATCTAGAAATGAGGGAACTAAATGAGGAGCCTGTTTCCTTCCTATGTTTAAAATAGTGAAACATTTAGTCTATTTTTGCAGAAATTGGGCTACCGATTGAAGTAATATGGAAAAGCAACACCCTGGCATGGTTTTGGACATTTTTATATGGACCTCCCACCCCCTTAATTATCGCTTGTTTTATTTTGCATACATACATGTGGGAGAGGTTCCTCATATGTTGAAACATTATTCTGTTTATATTTGGAATCTCAATCATTTCCAGGTCTCTGTAAAATAATGTACATGTTATGATATAAATTATATAAAATAGAGCTTTCTGTAGTTATAAAACTTTGAATTACACAAACAAGCCTTTTCTTAAATTATAGGTCTTAAAGAAATTACGTTATGGAAAAATCCTGACTATATTCAGTAGGAATATAGTCTTCTATCTTACGACAGATCCTACGACTGTTCATCACATCGAGCTTTTTACTGGAAGATTGTGTTGTGGGGATGTGCATATAGCCTGAACTCCCTTTGTAGTTATGCCGTTCGACAATCGATGCAATATCCATTAAGGGAAGCACAAGAAGA